GATATTCGCCAACTCGCGTGAAGCCAGAGCATTGAGAGATGTTCACTCTGGGTCTGCTCCTCTTCGCTGAGCCCAAGTAATGGGTAAACGTTGGAGGTCGTCCAATAGGAAGACATTGCATCCGGCATCTAGAAGCACTCGTATGCATGCAGCATCAGGGCAGAGATGAAGGGCATTACGACTAAAACAAGAATGTCGCCGAGGGATGTGGTACATATGTGATGGGAGTATAGGAAGGAATTAATACTCCAAAACGGCCGATCACGGCAAATCTCACCCGCAGTTATCAACATCTTGCACAAGAGGTCTGCCTCTCGCTCCCCCATTGTCCCTTAAAAGCTTCCTTTCCAGTAGAAGGATGAGCCGAATGGTTCGAACTCGGGAGTACTTACTAGCAACAAGCAGAGGAGTATCCTCCGATGTATTCCGATATCGCAAGAACTGAAACAGTGAGCCCTTCATGACTACGATGAGAAGGCTTTTAACCTGTTTGTTAACGTACTTGTGGATCATGTAAGCAAATGATGAAGAGAATGTCGAGGGTGGCAACGCCATCAGGCGCAGCAGCAAGACCGCATACATCGCAGTCTGGGGACTCGTCTCTTTTTGCAGGCCACAGTATGAGTGCGTTGCGGGTGAAGGTCTAAAAATAGATTTTGAAGGCTGCCATCTACATTGATACCATTGGTAGCCTACCTCGGCCGGAGCACGGGAGGTTATAGGATTAGTGTCGCACAGCTGCCAACACGTTGCAAACAGTCCCTTAGTGGATTCTGTAGGGCCCAAAAAAGCTGCTATCAAAAACCGCAGACCGCTGTTGGACAGCAGGAGATCTACAATATGGTGCTCAGAGATGGAGGGAGGACTCACAAAATCAGGCATTCGTGAAGCGAGTCATGGATGTGAGTAAAACTAATGACTCGATTTATCGTGGAGCCTTTCATACGACATCGATTAAAACGGGTTAGATCTGTTGACAAAAACAGACGGAATCAAGCCTGGCTTCTTGGAAACGTGGGCACAAGAATCATCTGAGATCCACAGTATCACACAAGCTCAACTATTGGTATCGAAAACCCTCATACTTAACACTCAGGATATAACCTAATCGCGTGGAGAAAGAGCCCACTTCCAGCAACGGTCATGCCGAGAGCACTGCGATGTCAACAGGCTTCGCTCATCGAAAAGATAATATATCATTCCACCGGCGATATAGCCATTCGGTCTGTGCTATTTCGAATTGCTGCCGACGAGTTATTTACCTTCTACTGTATGAACACTTCCGAGTCTGAGACCCAGAAGCCCACCGACTCCGCAAACACGCAGTCCAACACGGTGTTGGCAACACCAGAGAGGATTACATCCAGGAAGCCGTTTCAGTGTTCAGGCCTTCCGACACCGATAGTTCCGAATCCCGAGTCCTAGGTCGGAGTAGAAGGATGGGCAATCGAGGAATCAACACGGTTTAGGGAAAGGAAAGAAAGTGATACAATAACTGCTATACGGAAACTAGGGAATCCCCATCGTGATACTATGACAACGCAAAGCTCTCGTCAGTAAGAGAAAGCTACTATTCAATATTACGTCAATGTTGGTCTACCCGGGATGGCGCCATTTCGTCACTCAGTTTCCCATTTTCTCTCGCTCCTCCTTGGTAGCCGGCCTAGTTATCGGATGGAGCATACTCTAAAACGCAGAAATCATCAGCTCTGTCCGACCTGGAGTCCCCTCTGAGCAAATCACTCACCATAAGGCAGTTGTACCGCACTCTAGCGATTGGTTCGTTCTCACAAATAGCGATATATGCCAACCTCGACTGATGTCCAACATGGGATGCCATAGTATCCCTATGCACATGATTTCACGATGAGAGCTGTCGATCGCGCTACCTATGGATGGTCGTTGCCCACTCATAACGGCCCATATCAGC